AGGCAGTGCGAGGGGAGGAAAGGGAGGAGGGGGCGCCTGGAATGTTGCGGCCAGTTCTGCGGGCGGCAGTGGTGTCACTCCTTTCTCGGCACGTACGCCTGCGCTGATGCTGCCGCCTTTGCCTTTGCCAGCGCTACTGGGCAGCCACGCTCTCACACACACCCTGGCAGCAGCCAACGCGTACGCGTTTTGCACCCAGTTTGCTTGTCGTCACTGTGGGTCAACGTCTTTCTTTCTTCTGTGCTCTGAGGGATGTTCCCTTTTCTTACAACTTCTTGCTTCGCCGCTCCATGCGCGTTCTCGTGGGCGGCGCACCCTTTTCCCCTCCTCTTTGCTGCTGCCGCCTTCTTTGACGGCGCCTCTCCTCCTTGCGGGAGGGCAGCCGTCTGGTGTTCTCTGCTCCTTCTCGCTTGAGCGCATCGCAGCACAACATGCCGCCGCAACGAGGCGGTGTCATTTCTACAGTGAGTGGGCGATGCATGCGCGTAGCCACACACACACGCACGCACACAGAGAGAGACGGAGATGTGTGTGGGGATGCGAATGGCGAGCGCGATGCGAGCGAAGAGAAGAGCACCATCGCAGTTGTCGTGTGCCCTGCACTTTGCACACACATGCGTCCCCCTCCTCCTGCGGAGAGGGGCGAGCGTCGTCGTCGTGGGCGCGTGGCGGGGCCGCAGAATGCGGTGCGGGGGTTCATTTGGCTGCGCCGGCAGGGGGGCGGGTGTGCGGTGAGTGCGGGTGTGGGCGGTGGCCTTCTCTCTCTCTCTCTCTCTATCCCTTGCTGAATGTGGCTGCGTGGGGGTCGTGTCGGTGACTATTTTCTTTTTTTGCTTTTTTCTCTCCCTCACACTCTGCTTTTGGCTGGTGGTTGGTGTTCGGCTGAAGCTCAAGCCAACAACAACTAACGAAGAGAAAAATAAAAGAATGTCTGGAAGAAGCGAAGAAACTTACGCTGCTGCGGAGAGCCCCGCCACTAATGTGCCGCGGGGGCAGCGGCGGGCGAGGTCGGGGCCCGCCAGCGACTCGCAGCAGCCCCCTGCGCGGCGCCGAAGGCAGGAGGGAGCAGCGCCGCTGCCGCCACGGTGGACGCGTCACAGCATGGTGAGAGAGTTACTGCTGGCGGGAGCAGGTCACACCACTGAAATCAAGCTGAATGACTTCCTCCGCAGGGAATTGGGCGGCAGAGGCGTCGTGGAGGCCAATGGGAATGTCTCTCTTAAGAGTTTTGTTGCGCGACCCGGGGCATTTATTACGAATGAGAACGATCTGCGCCTAATACTGGCGTCGCCGTCTTACACGGCTATAAAGGAAGAACTTGAAGATGAAAACAAACTCCGTGAGGATGGAAACAAGCTTGTGGATCACGGCGTGTGCGTTCTCTGGGAATGGGGGGAATTTGAACAGAAGGATATCGTTTCAGATGCGGTTCGGGAAAAACTCGACGCAGCCCTTGACGCGGCGGAGGAGGCCGAAAGGAAAAAGCGGGAGGAAGAAGCAGCAGCACAGAGGGCATTGTACGAGTCGGTGTACAATGCGAGGTGGAGCCACGTCGTGGAGGTTCCGGGCGGTGACGGGTTGGGAATGGAGGTGCGGGAGGGCAAGCCGCGGCAGTGGTGGGAGTTCGAGCTGGGTGGCCATACTCTTTTGCCGGCGGACGCCGCAGCGCAGTTTGCCCCGCCCCGCCCCAGGCTGATGGTGCTGAGCTCGGAAAGGGGCTGGCCGTTCTCGTGGCGCAGGAAAGAGTTTCTGCCCGACTGCTACGTCACCGCCGAGGTGGAGCGGGTGTGGCAGTTTGTCAAGGCCGACCTGACCGGACTGTTTTCCAGCGGTGAAAGTAGAAGCGGTCCGAGAAACCGTGTTCTGCTTGGGATGCCGGGTATCGGGAAGTCGATGGCCGCCGGCTCCTACCTCCTCTACCAGCTGCTGCACCACGACGCCGAGGAACTCGGCGCGGTGGCGTACTTCGTTGCGGACCGGGCCTTCCTGTTTGACAAGACCGCCCAAACAGTGGCCAGGTTTGAGGACCAGCAGAGAGCCCTGGGTGCCATGGGGCAACTATCTGGGCGTGGAATAAAAGGGTATGCCATCTACGACTTGGCGAAGGAGGGGAAAATACCGTACTCTAGCCCATGGACCTTGTTCGTCTTGTCAGCCCCATACGAAGAGAACTACAAGTCCTGGAAGAAACAAAAAGGCGCCTTTGACTTCGTCATGAACTGCCCCGACGAGGGCGATGTGAAGGCGATGTGCGCGTGGAGGGAGCGTGGCCGGCCCGCGCAGGAGCAGGCGGAGCACTGGGGCCGGGTGAGGGATTTCATCGCCCACGTGGGACCGATTCCCCGGCTTCTCTTCAGAGAAGGCGACTACAAATCACGCTGGGAGTTGGTTGAGCGCACCGTGGAGTGCTTCACCCCCGCAGATTACTTGGGGTACTTCAGAGAGACCATAGATGGCGTATGGCACACTCAGCACCCGCTTCAGCCCCTCGCGAAGGCGGTCCGGCTGGTGTCAGAGCTTGGATTTGATGGCTTTCAGAACGTTCCGGTTTCCCCCGTGGTGAGGGGGAAAATATTGGTTCGAGTGGCGAAGACCATGCGATCGCCAGGTGGCTTCGAGTCCCTGATGAGAAATCCTGTCGGAGGACTGCCGGCGTTTCTGGAGGCGTACGGCGCGTGCGCATTCATGTATTGGGGTTTTGTGTGGAGGATGCACGACAAGCTCAGCGAGCTGCGGCCCCCGACGGGACGTGAGCCGGTGCCCTGCGTGCTGCACGTGGACCCGCAGATGCTCCCCACGGACGCGGTTGCGCTGCTGCCGAAGTTGTTTCATCCCGCGAAGGTGGACGCAAAGTACCGGGTACTGTACGTGCCGGGGGTCGAAAACTTTCCGCTCGTGGACGCCTTTTTCTTCGTTGAGGCGCCGCGGAGGACGATGGTTGGGCTGCAGACGACCACGGCGAAGGCGCGCCACGTTGCAAGCAGCACTGTGAGGCATTTCAACGATCAGCTGGCGGGGTTTTTTAACGGCTGGGAGGCGTTTGCCGCGGACTTGTCATGGGAGATTATTTACGTGCAGCACGCAGGGAGCACGCCAGCAGCTGGCTGGAAGAGATGTGACGTCGTCGAGCCACTGACTGAGGCGCAGCGCGGAGCGGAGGAGGCCGCTGCGGGGTTTTGGAACCAGCATGTGCGCCAGTACCGCGTGGTGGTGTCCGGCGCCGACGTGCGTGCGGCGCGCGGCCAAGAAGGAGAGGCCGTCGAAATTCCCGCACGTGTGCTCTGGGCCATGGCCTTCCCTGGGGTTCAAATGAGGCTGTGAGTGGTGGGTGGCACGGCGTGGGTTTGTTTATTTTATTTTTAGTATTTTTTTTGAGTTTGTTTCTGTGCTGCGCCCCACTCCCGCTGCACCGCGCTGAGGGAAATGGGGCTGGCGTTGGG